TCCATAGTGTCAGGGACTATGCTAATCACTTCAATTTATTAGACCCAAAAAGTTTTCTCAACTTTTGATGACGGGTCTATGGATTGAATGTTTTAATTTATTTTTATTGTTTCCAGGTTTTCTACGACTGCACTTCATCAAACAAATGTAAAGCTGACTTGGGATGAAACCGACCCTGGACGGCAAAGAGCAACCATGAGGAAATTCAAAAAGGAAGATTTGCTAGAAATGGATTTTAATGCATACCTTGCTTCCTCATCAGATGAAGAGGATAAACAAGATGGTGATGAAAAAATGAATGAAGATCAGGATTCTTCAGACAATGAAGACAAGAAAATTGACAAGTACAAGGTGAGATGTTAGTAAGTTTTTTTTGCTGCTTCTCAAAGTCCTTAAGTGAAGAACCTGCCAGATGAAAGAAACAAAAAAGAGAGCCCTAGAATATGTGGGAATTCTGAGTTTTTAAGCTCTTGTAGTCTGTTTTTTTGAGCCTCTATGTGTGAGTACTGGAGCAGAAGTAACCACATGTCGTATGTTGGGAAATCGTGAGAAAAATTCGGTGGGTTATTTGCAAGTTTTTTTTAGTTTCTTCCAACATTTCTGTTGTAGTTAACTTTTTATCTCAGGTAATTTTTATTTTTCTTTTGTTTCAACTTCATTAGCATAGATTACCATACACCAAAACAAAAGAAAAACAAAAATTATCTGAGATAAAAAATTAACTACAACATTTCTTTTTTCCTTTGGGTGAAGATGTTGGCTATATGTTCATCAGTTTTTACTCTAAGGAGAATGGGTGCAAGCTTTGGGTGCTGTGATTTCTGGGATTGTTTTTGGGGTGGGCGAGGCATTAGTTATGATTGGTCAGTGGTAGTCAAGGCAACCATCAACCAAATACAAGTAACGCTTGTCCAAATGATCCCAGAAATCATTGTGCCGAAAGCTTGTACCCATTTCCCTTAAAGTTTCTGGAATGAGGAGTATGTGCTCACTGGGTCTGAATGCCAAAAAGGTCTATAGCATTTAACAATTATTTTACTTCTCAGCTGATCTTTTACGCCTTTTTGTTTAAAGCAATTGCTGAGAGAGATTGAAGAAAAAGATCGCGAGGCTGACAGAGAACAGGAAATAGAGATCACTTGGGAACCAGGCCTGCAAGAAGCCACAGAGGGCTTGGTGACGAACAAGATGAAAGAAAAAGAGAGAAAGGAAATGACGCCATGGGAAACATACTTACAAAATAAAAAAGACAAGAGAAAAGAGAAACAAACAAGAAAAGATGCACCAAACAAGCAGTAAGTTACAAATACTTCAGTATGATTTCCACTTTTACTCCCTCGGTGTGGAACAAGTAAAAAAAGTCAGATTAGGTCCTTTAGAAACCAGTTCGTCAGTCTCTATATGGCCAATTTTTTTTCCCAACAACTTTGTGGCATCCATTGCAAAACAGAATCTATTTGTGAGATTGATTTTTTGAATTTGTTTATCGTATTACGACTTAATTATCAGAGGGTACATAAGGTTTGGAGCTCTTTCAATGTTGTGGTCTTAACGATAGATTGTTACTTAAATGCATGCGAATCAAGCAGAAAATGTAAACGAAGATATTCCCCTAACTCAACATTTCACGATTCACGTTTGAACCCGTTACAACTTATTGACTGGAAAACGAGTTTAGCTTCGCAGGTGTCTAGATAGCTTTTTTGAAACGTCTGATAATTATCTTGTGTTGTGTTTCAGGATATCAGAGAAAGAGCCTGACGAAAGTGACAAGATTTTCACAGATGTTGACGTGTCAGATCCTTTTTTCAGTCAAGAAATTGATTTTGGGTTAACCAAAGGTGACAAGGCATCTGCTAAAACGAAGAAAAATCGAAAACGAGCCGGGAAAGAAACTGAGGAGGATAACAAAGCGAAGGTGAACGAATAGTTATTAATCTTTTCGGTCCTAACATTCATCGGAAAATCATTGCCAACATGTGCACAACTTTTTGCTCGATATCTGAATTGTTGTAGAACCTTTCGCAGAAGTCTACCTCTACTGTTTGCACTAACGGTGCCTGCGAGTACATAATACCTTTTTTATAATTTCTACCAGCGTCGAGCCTTCAGTCGTTAAAAAAAATTGCCTTACTATCACACGTCTGTTTGAGCTCGTTGGAGTACGTATTCGATACTGCAGTGATAGCAAGAAATACTTTTAAGTTATTAAACGCTGGTTTCAAAAAGTAGAATTATGCAGAATATTCTGAAGGTGTTTTGGGCATTAACCAACCAAATTTTAGTTCGCTCAATTTTCATGTTTTAATTTATTTTCCTGTTTTGCTTGATTCGTTTCCAATTTAAGGAGGAACTAGAATTACTTTTAATGGAAGACAAGGACGACCGACAGCATTTTAGTCTGAAGGGAATAATGGACAGTGAAAAAAGGAAAAGCAAGAAGAGAAGGAAAAGAAAAGCAAACCAAGAAGAAATTGTGGATGATAACTTTAACGTGAACTTGAAAGATTCTAGATTTGATGCGTTGTTCACTTCACATCATTTCGCTGTGGACCCGTCAGATCCCCAATACAGGTAGGATGTGTAATAACTTGGGTGTCCTGTGTGGTACCTGATGTGAATTTGACATTTAGCTACAGATCTGTTGTCGGACCCTACTGCGCTTGCGCCGTGTTCCGCTGAGAGACAGTAGGCTCATAAATTCGAAGTGTTTCCGAATATCCGAATAACACTCGAGTATTCAAGACCAAAAGCGTTGCACATGCGCAAATTTGCGTAATTGATTGAGGCTCTGAGCACAAGCCTAAGCACAGGTCACCGCAGCGTATTTTTTTTGAGGGAGCAAGAAAACAGCAGTACTCTTTTTCCAATTTTCCTGTGGCACTTGAAGGATTAACCTACGCGTGATGAAACACTAAGAAGGTCTGCGTAGGCGATTGAAGGAGGGGAGACAGTTATTGTCTCTTAGCCTGATTCCATAGGAATCATCTTTAACAGACTACCTTGGCAAGTAGCCGCTATTTTGCGCAACTTTTATTGACCGGTGACTAGTGATCTACTTTTGCAAAGAAATTGTCAATAATATTTAGATAGCTGCTAATAGAAGTGTCTGTTACTAGGAAAACTAAGGCTATGGAAACCATTATTGAAGAGAGACAGAGAAGACGAGAGACTGAAGAGAAAACCGACCAGGCGAAAAGAGTAGAAGGTGAGTAAGATCACGTAGATCGGAAGGTCAGGTTTGAAATTTAGGCTTTTTTCACGTTCGTTGGTTTCCTGTTTCGTAAATTGGTGAAGACTTTTTTCGTGACGTTATACGGTGACATGGTGACGATGAAGATGAAGATGATAATGATAATGATGATGATGATGATGATGATGACGATGACGATGATTAGGTGAAGGTGGCCGTAGCCATGGTGAAAGTGATAATGAGGGTGTGGAATGTTGAATAGGGATGATAATGATGATGTTGATAATGATGACGACGACAGTGATGATGATGACGAGGTGATGGTGGTCTTTGTAATGGTGAAAGTGATGACAATGGTGATGGTGTTGTTGCCGGAATGTTGAGGAGGGATCATGGTGGCAGTGATGGTTTGTATGGCGATTATGATGATGATTTTGGTGATGATAGTGATGGTGATGTTGTTGGTGATGATGATGATGACGATACCTTTGTGAATTAATTTATGTCCCATTTGTTTAACATCCGAAAACTATCTGTACAATTTGTAATCAAGCAATGTACTTTTCTTTTCGTTACAGGAGACCAAAGTCAGAGAAAAGATCCTAGGTGAGTCGAAGATCTGTACGGAAGCAATTAAGATAGTCTTTCTTTCTTTACTACTACTGGCGTCTGGTTCTTCTCGCTAAAATTTTTACGTTAAGAAAATGTGAAATTATCACACTGAAAAGAGGTCACATTTTACGAAACAGATCTGATATAAAATGATAACGTGTTGGAGTTGACACTTTTCCTGGGGAAGTTGTTTTTGTGAACTTTTATCATATTGAGTTTTCTCCTCAACAGGAAGCTTCATTTCACTCTTTGTTTATTTACACTCATCGACTTGTTCATTGACGTTACTGATCGTTCTTGTATTGTTTCTTGTTTCTTGTTACTCCATAGCTTGTCTTTGTTGGTGAAATCAGTGAAGTCAAAAACCGGACAATTCTATCAACAGAGGAAGAAGAAAAGATTAAAGCAGTAAAGTTAAGGATATATCACGTCCCCAGGGGACCATCGCTAGTCACGTGATTGGTTCGCAGTTCCTTGTCTCTCAAACTACCCAAAATGCCGGGCAAAGACCCTCTGTTGACTTCGAACGACAACATACCGTGCAGAGTTAGAGGACTTGCTCAAACCTCTTACGCAGGATTATGTGCGCTTACTTTCAACACTTGGATGATTGGATCGTTTTGCCAGCCTCATATATGATAAATTTATGTTTTCTATTGGTAGCCACTCATTGCTCAGCTCGTCTACCAAAACTATCCCAGAATGCTTAGTGCTCAATCTCCTTATAATGCGCGAATGAGCGACGATTCTCTTTGACATATCGTCGACCCAGATCCTTCAGTCGTGTAACAGAACATCATTCTCCGGTTACAACAGCAATAATTGTATTGTCTTAGACTACGAGTACTCCCCCATTTTTCTCTCCCCGCGGCGTGTCGCCTTTTCTCGTGTGGGGTGATTTTCACGCGCGCTCGCGTTTCGCTCGCTTTACTATCCCTGAGGAAAAATGGGGGACTACTCGTAGTCTAGCGTTGTCTGTGCCCGTATAAGGACCAGGTGCAGACCTTAGATTAAAACCGAGTCTTCAGAACATCATTCTTTTCGTGGCCTCAAATCAAAAAGAGGATTCAAGCAAGTCAGAAATGCCTTGTAAGCAACATTTGGACACTCTCCGCTTATTGCTAAAATCCCACGAACACTGATTTTACTGCAGAGCTTGTATTAGCCTCCCTTCGGCTCTTTTTATTGCATGACAAATGGAATTTTATTCAGCGCTTTAAATAAACAAAGTTGTAAACAAGCATGGTCACTAATGTTTTTTTATTTTCTTTGTGAGTAAGGGTTATCGGTCTGAAGCGATGGGTTATGTGATAGCGGAGCTCCTCGCGAGCGGAGCACTATAGCTAAGAAAATTTGGTAATCTATCCATCCGAGAATATTTGGTTATGACGTCGCGTACGACCTCCCGTCCGTACAGACGCTGGGGAAGGGGGAAGGGAGTGAGACGTCAGCCCGTCGGGGGAGGAGTATGTTATAGGTGAGGTGAAATTTTCCATTTCAAGCAACTCGCTCTCGTTTCGGTGGTTAATCACATGGCCGCCCGGACTTTTGGAGATAAAAAACAACAACAACAACAACAACAACAAGAAAAACGAGTCTTTCTTTCCACTAAATTTTAATGTCTACATTAACTTAGATAACAGGGAAAGAGCAAGAGCGAGAAATAAATAACAACGGAGACCAGTTTGGACGGAACAAATACATGAATATTATATAGCGGCGGTTAGAAAATGAGAAATGCTAGCAGCTACCAAAGAGAAAATGAGCGGCAGTGAAAAGACAGAGTTAACACGAACACAAACATTTCCTCCATAAAACGTGTAAATAAGAAGTAAAAAGAAGTTTCAGTCGTGTAAAACAACGGCAAGGAAATGTACAAAAAAGTGTGCTGCACGTGCAAAGTTGTTTTTTTGCTAATTAGAAAAAAAGTATACTGCACGTGCAAATTTTTTTTTTTGGCTAATTAGAAAAAAAATACGCTGCACGTGCAAAGTTGTTTTTTTACTAATTAGAAAAAAGTATGCTGCACGTGCAAAGTTTTTTTTTGCTAATTATATTCATTGGTGAGAATTCCTCATGGGAACCAAAAATACACTGAAGAAAAATGTGTTTACTGCTCACCTTCTTTTGTTGTTGTTGTTTTTGTTTTTTTAACATTTCTTAGTGACATTGGTGGCATGAACAAAGCATCAGGCTTTTCATAATGTTAGTTTTTTCAATTTCGCATTTCGAATTAGTTGTCTGTAGTAATGCTAAAAACAGCAACTTTGAGTGATTTCGAGTCATACAATTTTACTACACAAAGCAGTTTTTACGCTGAAATTTACACTAAACCTTAAGAAAACTAAGGAGACGCTGCTTTTTGGGGTTGACGTGAACGGGCCAGAAGCTGCGATTTCAATTTCCATCCAGAGGATCGGTTGAACGACATTTTTACGGAAGAAGGAGTTGGGTTTAACACGGCGTGGAGGTAAGAAAGTGTGAAGTTTTCTTTGTTGTTTTACCTTTTATCTTTGGGTCTATTGTGGTGACTTTTTTGTTTTCTTAATTCACGTTACTCGTGAACGTAACAGGCTATTAGACCGAGGATAAGCCGAGAAATCCGCTGTCAAAGACAAAGACTAAAAGAGTTGAGGCACAAATGCTGAAAATGGAAAATAGTCCACCAGTGGAGTATAAGAGGTGAGGATGATTGACTAAAAGTTTCCAAAGTTTTACCACGAAATAACAGTGACACTCAGGTTTTAAGGCTTTCCGTAATTGTGAAAATTCTCCTCTGGCTAAGCAGGTTTGCCTACAATAAGATGAGAGTGATTTTGTTTTAACTCGAGTTATAGCGCTGTGATTATTTAAACAATACGTGAACGAAAAGTTATTCATGAACAACAAATTTTAAAAGGGCAAGAGGGTTGTCCATTAAAATGCAGGGGGATATGACTTATTTGCCTTGCATAACTCGTTGTACTTTAATTTGCTTTTCACTAGCCTCGTTCTTCCATCCAAACAATCAAAGCCAGGTCATGTTATATATTCGCTGATCCCATCCCGCCTCCTCTAAAACACCACTGCAAAAATATTTCTTGCTTCACATTGACAATTAGCAAACCGATGCAAAATTTCAAATTTTGTCCCCAAACCAACGTCCTCAAGTCCACGTATAAAATTATCTACAAATTTAAAAAGGTTAGAAAAAAGATGACATACACAATAGGTCTCATCGATCTCTTTATTCACCCTTTGTGTGAATGTTTGACACAATCCGTAGTCCCAATCCCTTCACACTGATAAAGTAATCGATTTTTATAAATAAAGTTCCCATTGTACCTCAACTTGCTAATTCACTTGATTCTGTACCCAGATGACCACTGGGCCAAATTAAATAGACATGTGATGGGTCAAAATTGCCACATATTTCAATTCTGTGATATTTGACATCAAACCTGACAACTTGATTTACACTTGATCACTGAATTCTACTTACAAATACATATTTTACTTGTAAAAAAACTTACAACTTAATCTATTATATTTTAAATACAAAGGGGAAGAAAATCTTGAATTCATGTATCCTGTCCTTTAAGGTGGGCCACATTTTAATTTGTCCCCAGAATGTCACTGAGGTATAATTTTTTGACACTAAGGTGTTAAAAAAAGTAAATGATCAGCAAACAATATCTTGACCATAATCCATACAAAAATTTTCCTTATCAGTGACACAGAAAATAAATAATAAAATATTTTGGAGAATATTGGTGCAAATGGTAGAGGTTAATATGTTTAAATGTGTTACACTATGGAATACGTAGAGTGATGGTGATATCAAAGGTAAAATCATTTTCGCTTCTGATTGGCTGGCTAAATAACTGTGCTTGTTTCCAGGCAACATCTCCTCTTCCTCCACTGAGTTTAGCTGTTAGTTTCAGAGTCTTGGAGCCACTTAAGGATGAAGTTGTTAGTAACTTCTGATCTGCAAGGTACCAAAGATAGTATATAAATTATGTACGTGAGCATAATGTTTAAAGAATGAATAAGTTTGGCTCTTCATCCTTCGATGAAGCAGTTACTTACCATCAGACAATCCACCAGTAAGGGTGGATTTTCACTGCCGTGTTAATAAAATAGAGGTAACTTATTGAGAGTGGTGTGTAAATGGAAAAGCTGAACCTCGTTTAATTTTTAAGTTTACACGTGACCTTTCATACATAATTGCTTCTATTTTATTTGCGCCCTTTTATGTGCGCAAAACCAGTCAGTATGTCATAACAGTAAGTCAGTGAACTAAGGATTGTGTCAAACAGTCACTCAGCTAGTCACTACATCAATCAATCAATCAAGCAATCAATCAATCAATATTGAAGTTGTATCTCTTATTTTGTGAAATCCTTTGGTGTGAACAACAAGAAAGACAAAT